TGTGTGTGTGTGTGCGCGCGCGCGCGCGAACATGTGTGTTTTAGTCTCTCACACGAGAGAGATATTGCCTGACCTAACATCAGAACACAAAAAAAGCCATTTCATCACCGGGCATGCTCGGCTGCGAAAGTCCCGGAGGAGTGAACGAGACATGCAGTGAGTGAATCATACGCGTGATCTGACGAGTGAGTGAAATTCGACACTCCCAGCAGCTCTGAGCTAAGTTCTGTGATGCACTTGTTTCCCCCCCCCCCAAAAAAAAAGGTTTTTCCCATAATATCGGTTTCACAGTTGATGTTCAGGATGCTGTTTAGGTCGGGAATGGTGCTATTGTTTTGTTACTCTTCCTGCGAAATTCGGGCATCTACGCGAAAATTGTTAGCCGAGAGGGAAGGAAGGAAAATAAGGAGGGAGAATGAGGGAATTTCCCGGCCATTGCAACATTGTTCTAGTGCTTAAAACAATACTTTGTTATAAATATGAGATCCTTTAAAAAAAGACAAAGAAGTAAAACAGGAACAACCCAAGACACGTAGATCTAATGGTAATGTCCAAGATGTCTTAATTACCATTTAGTTCTAGGTTCTGATTCGAAAGAAACGACTCGCTTTCGGGATATCTGAATTTTGAACGAGGCACAGCATTGTAATCTCTACACAACCTAGCACTCCATTTATAATAAAACATACCACTTTGTCATCTTTAATATACAAATAAAGGGCTTTTATGCCTGTCCCTCAGCTTAAGTTACAACGTTGCTGCTATCAAATCGCTATATTATGTTGGCCCACTTACGAGACTAAAATTTAGGGCATTGTCACATTTTTACAGGATATATAGATATTAACAATTGACGGCGGATGTACGATCATATTATGTGGGTGCAGATTGATGATCCGGCTTCTATGAATAAGAACTCCTCCCCAGAAGATTAGTTTCCTTTAAAAAATTCAAATAATACGACTTTGCCAGACGTGACAGTGACAATGACAATGAAGAGGGAGTGGTTTCGGTATGGAGAGATCTCAATACCCCTATAAGGAGGTACGTGGTATGTATGTGGGTTCTTGCGGAATCGGAAGAAAGGTGTGTTGTTGGGAAATAACTTAACATCGGGTAGGCCCATTGGGTGTGTGTCTGACTTCTCTTTTGTGGGTAATGTTTAAAAAAAACAACAAAAAAAAACAACCCAACTCAAAATGATTTTGCAGTTGACATTTTGTTTGGGATCGAAAGATAGATAAATATAGATAGATAGATAGATAGATAGATAGATAGATAGATAGATAGATAGATAGAGAG